ATATATAGTTTCTCTCCCTTGATATATCTCAGTTGAAATGAATACGACTATACGAGTCATGTTATTTTAACGCAAGCAAACAAACGAACTAGGCGCGACCAGTACAACTTGTAATTGTCATCCATAATTTTCCTAAAAAAAAAATAAGTAGATGTAAGAAGAGTCCTATCCTAACTTAGGCGAGCCGTGGTTATTACGCCCACGAAAATGAATATTTTTACGATGGAGCAATTATATGCATAATATTTGTGTGATGAATATATATAGGATGAATCTGATTGCGTGAAGAAAACTATCTTTATATATGAAATATGATATTGGTTAGAAGATTCAATCCTCCACTTCCAATTGGTATATTTTTTTTTTTTACACGAAAAATATAAACCAAACAATTAATTTTGTGTTTATGATATAAAGCGAAGAAGGACCCATAAAGAAACAGATGGACCAATCATTTACATAAACTCTCCTCATTATTCCCTTGATTTTAGTGGTCAATTATTGGAGTGATAAATTTCGGATGACGTCCGCATTGTTTGCTTTAACATGCTTGATTAAGGTTTAGTTTGCTAGAATCAATTAAAAAAAGTACATAATTTGATAAATACCACCATAAACATATAGAATTTTAAGGTATTTCATTTTACATTCATTTTTTTTTCCTGCAAAAATATAATTTCTTAACACATTAATAATTGTAAATTTAAAAAACCGAATTTGTTATATTTGAAAACTAAAGAAACAACATTTGATTTGTCTAAAAAAATGACATTTAGTAAAATTTCATTAAAAACAAACGACTTAGCACACAGTATTTTGTATAGTACATATTATTGTAGTTGTAGAGTTGTACAACACTTATGGAAGTCTCGATCATTGACAATAAACAGTTATGAGAATCTAAGAAGAACATATCAATATCACAGTTGAATACAGATAAATGACATTAATTTATTTGTGTGACCTTCCATTAATCAGGTTGCATGTTGTCAAGTATATATATAGAGTACTGTACTTTTTTTTGGGGTCAAAGATATATATAGTATTATACCCCACTATTATTACAATTTACGGTCTAATTCGATTTGAAGCATTATCTAGCAGATCGATTAGTGAGACGAGATCACGTGCGTTCAAGAGGTGCAAAGTTCAGACCTAAAACCGTTATAACTTACAAGCAACTTCTACAATATTGCATATATTTGTTCCTTGGCGAAAACTATGGTCTAAACTTTGCTTTAAAACTTATAGTGTCAATAATCCATGAAACAGCTTACATTTGTGTTAACCAACCACTCTAACATTATTCAGATTGAGGTTTAACTAAATTTGGAATCTGAAGCTTCCCTTTTTTTCTTAAAAAGAATCGAAACTTCCATTCAACGTTGAATAATTGTACAAAATCTAAAGATCAGTATTTTTTTTTATATCAACATAAATACTAAATACTATTCCCTCTGTCCCATTATATAGAATTTTTTAGATAAAA